TCTGTACTTTACAACGGTTTTAATAAACAACGGGGTACCTTCTTGTTTCTGTACTTTACAACGGTTCTTAATAAACAACGGGGTACCTCCTTGTTTCTGTACTTTACAACGGTTCTTAATAAACAACGGGGTACCTCCTTGTTTCTGTACTTTACAACAGTTTTTAATAAACAACGACTCGTATTCAATAAAGACGCGTAGATAGTTTGATATCATAATCTACAGTCTGTTAACACAACTTGTTAAACTCCTTCAAACGTTGGAAGTTCTCATCGACTGCCTATTGTACTTTTTATCAGCATAGTATTTTTATATATCCGCCTCACCAACGTTTATCAAACGAACACGTGCACACTCTCTCACGGTTAAAATGTAGCACAGCATACGGTGGGGGAATTAATGACGTGTAAGTAATTCTATTCATAAAACTTGACGAACACGGCATCTATCTTTTCTTGACTGGTAACGTTAAATTAAGCATTGAAGTTGTCTCTAGAAGCTATGACACGTGTTTGTCCACTGATTCTACTGGTCTATTTTACTGCACTTCTGTCCATAATATATCCAGTAGTTTGGGGTATTGAGAGTGAAGATGATGATCAAAAGGATTTTGAAGAAAACTTAGCTTCGACAGAAAAACAAGAACGGACACGATTAGGCGTTAATCTAGAAGAAGAACCGAGTCGATGGCCTGGTCACATGGAGCATTTAGGATCGCACTTTCCAAAGAAAAAGATTGATGTTCATAAAGGGTATCCTTCTGTCACCAAATTCTACAATGAGTTCGTTATACCCAGTTCACCTGTCGTTATTTCTTCTGCCCTTGACCAATCTGCCAATCTATATGGACTACCTGATGCAAACATTGCTGCACTTCCACAAGCTTACACAATATTTATGAACGTTCGATCGCGTAAAGGTGGACATATAATTGGTAAAATGACTATTCGTCAATTCATCCAGCGCTATAAAAAGGAGAATCTGTATCTAGACACTCCACTTCCAGACTCCGTAAAGTGAGTGCGATTTTCGCGTTTTATTTCTGTAAAATGTGAACGAGATTTTTGTATATCTTAAATGTTTTCTCATTGATTTATATGTTCTCAAACGTAATTCAACAATAACAAAAACAATACTTGATGTTAAATACGTTTCCAGGTAGTTTTAACCAATGTAGTAGTTGTATCTCAGTTATTTGATTATTTTCAGCTCTCTCAAAATTTAAGAACTATGAATATTACATATTTTTTCATTAACAATATTAAACGAAGAGATGGTGAAATGGCTTGCATTCATGTAAAAATGAACTTGGTTTGACCATTTTTCGGTAGTGTTACAAGTTTAGCTATTTCTTTTCAGAAAGATGCGTATAGGTAGCGCTGTCGTCGTCAATCTTATTCTTACTAATCATCAATTAATTACATATTCTATAATTAAAAAATCATTTACTTTTTACCTTTAGAAAAAATAATAATGAATTTCTCGAATTAATACCTCGCAAAAATATGAGTCATGTCTCGTAGATACCAAGATGAGATATCCCTGGGTGTGTTTAAAACATATCGAGAATGTTTCTTATCTTATGTTTGATAAGATGTCGTAACAAATTTCCGACTTAGGGCAAACAAGTTAAGTTTCGTGAGTCATTTGTAAAGTACCTTATAGTCGAAAAGAATAGAAATAAGTTTCAACTGATTTTATATAAAGGTTTCCATAAATAATCTTGAACAACGAACACACACAATAAGAAAAAAAAAAAACTTTATTTGTGAAAATCTAAATTCTTAATCACGAGTTTAGAAATAGCATTTCAGATCTATCATCGTCCAACCTACCTGATGACTTCTGGTATTATATAAAAGGCTTCTTGGGAGACAAAAGGTAGATCTAAAATGCTATTTTCTCACCTCTGATTTACAATCCAATATGAATAAATGAAATGGAATTTAAAAATAAAAATATTTAAAGTTTACTCAGTTTTTTTCACAAATGTTAGACCTATTGTTTTTTAATGTTTCGCCATTGCAGTCTTTATTGTTCATGGAAAAAATATGCGAAAAATACACTAATATATCAAATAGTTTGTTTTATATTTACATTATTATTTCATAAACAAAGGCAAGCTATTTTGACATTTTTGCTATAAATATACAATATACAATATGGATTTTAATGTGTTATTGGTTTATTTTTCAGGATGCTTTTGCCTCTACCACGTTGTCTCAGATGTGATGAAGTAATTAAGGAGCTTCATAAAACGGTACAGAAACTTTACTTTATCTAAAACCCCTTGTTTTATTAAATTGTTGAAGTTATACTATTAGTTGTAGTTTAGTTCAGGCTTTCTTTTATGTAATAAAAATTTAAATGCTAAAACATGATATTCTGAATGGTAAAATAACATATATCTAGTTTTAAACTCAATTAGAAGTAAACAACTATACCCAGACTCACCAGGCAGCAAAGTTAGTGTTACTGTTAGTGTTAGGTTTAAAGTCAGGAAACAGTTTCTGTACAGCAGTATCAAATATTAAGTATATAACTGTACTGGAGACGCTAACAAAATTGTAGATTTTATGTTGCAAGAGCAAATTTTGATAAATTTACCAAAATTTAGTAAGTAATATGGTTAAAAGATAGGAAGCCAGTAAATATACACGAAACGGTTACGTTAGCAGATACATATGTAGTGACAAAGAAATATATTAGGTTGAGGGTAGGTGAAAATCAGCTGGTACTCAATAGTAGAAGTACATAAAATAAATCAATAAAACTGGATCAGCACTCCCTGAGGATTGATTTTATAAATAAGATTATTACAACGTCTGCCAGACTGTTTTATACGTGACCAAGCTGGGAATATAGGTAAATTCTGTAAGCAAAATAAGAAAACTGTGGATAGAAAGGAGAACGTAATGAGTTATATTGACGAAAGAAAAAATCTCAAATAAATATTTAGAAGAGGTGACGACAGATGAACAAGTGTTAAATGTCTTAAAGGATACTGGTAGTTAAAAAATTCTGGTGAGAAAAGTGTCAGTAAAAGATAATCAACTCACAGGTAATACTTTATATTTAATTGGGTTTAGCGAGAAAAGCTTGATATAATTCATTGCTAGCTAAAGTCATATTGAAATGTCGAACTTTCGAAGGTGAAATAGACAGTCGTAGGGGTGGCGGATGATATTTCACTTTCGGTTTTGCTTGGTAATGAGTTTGCAAAATACACCACTAATTAGCCAGATAACAAGTGCGATTAGAGAAAACTGAAGTTAATGAAGAAATAAATCATTAAATAAATAAAACAAATTATGATTAATTTTCAAGTGTTTTTATAATAGAGAATATGGATTGAAAACAAATAATAAAATAGCATTTAGGAGATGAGAGTTTGGAGAAGTGAAGACGTAGTAGAGAAATCAGAAGTAACTAAACTTGAGAAAAATTATTATTACTGGTGAGATGGAGTGTTGAGGTGTAAGTGTAATGGTAGTGATGCAATAATTGGCAGGGATCAAATGGTACCCCCAAAGTAATTAGACAGACAGTACTATAGGTTAGGGCATGATGCAATGCTGGCTGGATATTTAGGCATAGCTAAAACGAAAGATGGGATCAGTAAAAGCTACTATTGACCGGAATTTTGCTTGTTTTGTTTTTAAACGCAAAGCCACACAATAGACTCTCTGTGATGTGCCCACCACGGGTATCAAAACCAAGTGTTTTAACGTTATAAGCCTTCAGACGTGCCAGTGGGGGCACTGGCCGGAAGATATAGAGGCATAGAGGCTTTTATGTAAAGAGCTGTCCAACATGTCAACTAGCTGGTAAGGGCATGAAAATAAAAAGTCCAGTTGCTAACTTACCAGTTATTAGTGAACCCTGTAGCTCATTTATTGCCAATGTTACCAGAACACTTCTAGTAACAGAGCAAGAAAATAAATATATTCTAACAGTGGTGGATTTTGACATTAGACATGTAAAAACAGTAGCACTAGATCCAATTGAAACAGAAGAAAATAAATATATTCTGACAGTGGTGGATTCTGGTCATTAAATATTGTTACGTCTCCGTTCGTTAGTTAATTTTCCGTAAAAATTCTTTCCGGTGAAACTAGCGACACAAGTCCTTTCTTAAATAAAACTGGTTTATTCTTTCTGAATACAACTTTGCAATACACTTAATTTCCACAGTCGCGCTATAACAAACGCTATAATTCACAACGAACGTTTCACGTGCTCGACTCAACAATATTCTCTCTCTGTCCGCAGTTAAATTACACAGCATTACATTGTTGTCGTCACGTCTTGACCGTCTTATATATAAAAGAATACCGAAATCTAGTAAACGCTAGAGCATTCAGGAACCTTCGGGAATATGACGTGTTACCAGCGTCACGTGACCCCCCGCTGTCGTAACAATATGAAGAGAGAGTGTAATAAATGTACCAGCCGTACAATTAAGCGTACCAGAAAATGTCAGGTTACAAAGGTTTTCTTTGGTGTTTCTACCACTAATTTAGGACCTGATGTTATTTTTAAGTAGATTTCAAAACCCTTTCACAAGGGTTTCTAAATAAATACTGAATTCTGAAACTTGGAAGGATAAAGAGACTAATAGGTGTCTTGTAAGAATTATTTTTTCTAATAGAAGACACGTGATACATGCTGGAAGTATCACATTAATAACAATCAAGCAAAACAAAAATTGATCAAGAAACCTGTAGCAAAACAGTGAAGAACACCAATAAAAAAACAAAAACTGACGCATATTATAAACCAATCTTATAATATATATATATATATATTTAGGTAAACTGAAACAAAATACCACAATGAAACTAAACTTACCTTCACAGTAATCTGAATGCACTTCACCACTTGTTTCTATATCTTCATCTTCAAACTCTTCTTCATCTTCTTCAGGTATAACTTCTAATTCTTTTTCATCCGCATAATATACATAGCGTCGAGGGTCAGTAAGATAAGATGCACTATTATCAATAAAGTCATTGTCGTCCTCGTCATAGAAAGGATCGCGTTCACCATCTGTACCACTTATAATATTGTATTCTTCTGAACTATCATAATCGGGAGAAGGAGTGTCTGGCGCTTGCACGTGGTCGTCTGGATGTTGCACGTGATATTCATGTTGTTCTCCATCTTCATTAACTGAGCTGTAAGCATCCTCCAATAATTCTTCGGCAATATCTTGGCCATAAAATGTATTATTATGCACCACAAAGTCCTGGGAATCGAGATCGGATTCCACATCGGGACGTCTTTCTGGAGTTTCTCCTGCATCACACCGTAGATCTTCAGCACATGAAGATTTTCCTAACGAATGGTTAACAGCACCAGGCCGGCGAGTCTTTTGGAGCATGGCAAAAGGGGTTAATTCAATAGATTGTTTCGATACGCTTGATGGTTCATCGGGAGAAAGATTTTCTTTATCTGACTGTTCTGAATCACTACAAGGGGCATTGCCACCACCACTGAACTGAGTTGCGCGAATGAGTCTTACACTCTGTAGAATGCTATCTACGTTGGTAGAAGGTGCCGACTGACAACTATTTCTACTGACAGATTTTTCTGTAGGTTTTCTCACAACGAATTCAGACCTGCTTGAGGAAGAAACAGAAGAATTTTCTTGCTTTCCTTCCGTTTTAACATTCCTCTTTATTTGGCTTTGGAAGAACTCAAGACTTTCTCTAAAACCACTAGAATGGACGGAAACCTGGTTATCAGAAACTTCTTCATAAACTGGTGTATTTTCTTTGGTTGGGTTGTCGCGCGTTAGGTCTTCAGAAGAATCAGATTTGGTGATGAGAAGCTGATCTTCTTTAGAACGGATGGCTTGCTGCAATGGAAGTAGATAAACAAGTGTATACTTGTAGCACTTAAACCTTCTAAGCAGCACATGAATTAAAAATTTTTGAAATCTTGTAAACAAACTTGATAACGTCTGAAGTGAAATAACTACACACGAGATTTTAAATGAATCACTAAAACATACACTGCTCGAAACGAACGTTTTCTTTACCCGTAAGTAAACAAACAAAAAATTCTGACAACTAAAAAATATTGCAGGAATAGTATCTCACACAATAGCAATAGATAGGTAAATATATAAATGTTTAGGTCACCATGAGGTTTGAATTATCCTATCTCGTACTTATTTATTTTGTTACCTTTGTATATGATGCAATCAAAGCCTTGCAATATTTTACATTAACCTGTAAGCATTCCAATCATGACAACGGGCACCATGGTATTGGAATAACAATCTAAATGCAGGCCTCCCACCAGACCATGGCATAAAAATATTTTTAAAGGTTATATTTTCTAAAAATAGACAGCAACCAAAATATGTGATTTAATATGTAAATTTGTGTTTGGCTAATAACAAATGTAAATTTCAACAGTATCTGAAAAAATTCAGTAAAGAAATCCATTACTTTGTGTATGATAACAGAGATGTTAACATGCAAGTTCTGATAATGCTGATAACGAGGTCTGAATTTTCCCATACATCTGTATTGAATGACTTTGTTAATATCATAACTACAGTGTCGCAAGTTTCGCATCAATGTTTTTGGTAAAACCGTATAGGGTTACCTTCATATTTATGGATTATTTAACCTACGCTGAAGTATGACCACATGAATTTCCCAAGAGAAAAACTGGAGAAATACGCTTAATAAGATAAAAAACAAACGAGATTTTTTGATGGCTTATAAAGCTAAACATTTAGCCAAAATTTATACGGGGTGTTTAACTCAATATCCACCATTTGTTCCGAAAAAAAGTTTCAAAAGAAAAAGAGAGGTCAACTCATCACTAGGCGAACGAGAAAATAAAAATAGGAAAGAACTTGAAATTGAAAACATTAAGCTTGAAATTAAAACTTTAAAGATACGACCAAGTCACTACTTAGCAGAAATACAGAAAGATGACGATGACAAGATCACAAATATTTTAACAACAAACGAACAAGACCAAGCTGAAAATGGAATGAAAATTGCAAGGAAGAAGAAATAAATAATACAAACTGGGAGACAAAAACACGACTTCTTTAAAAATAGTACACGTAGATATTATGTCAAAGAACACGAAACCGAAGAGGCCAATGTTAAATATATTTCTTGTCCCTTCTCTTTTAAAAATGTAGATAAGTAACAACCATATATTACGCTGTGGAAAAAATATATAAATAAAGACATACACCAACGATGAAGTAGATGAAAACAGTCCACTAAACTATTATGGCAACAACGTTATAACATTCTACACTAATTTTCAGCAAAACAAGTCCAAAAGTAGAATATAAAAGAACTTGGTAAACCCTATTTATTCAAGAATTGTGCGAGGACATTACAGGAATTGTGAAACCGAAGGTCCCGTTACCGCACTCCGCACTTTTGAACTGTGAGTGACGGCCAAATCCCACCATTCAGCTGACAATAATGGCTCGAGGATTGGCGACGAGCGTTCTAGAAGAGCTGTCTTTTTTCTAGTCTACAGTTTTGTTTGTTGACTGTCTGCGCTAGCCATCCGTACTTTCGAAGTGACAGTCTATAGAATAGTGAGCTAGCCACATCTTCCACCTCCAACTCTTGAGCTACTACTTACCAACGAATAGAGGATTGACCGAAAATTATAACGCATTCACGGCTGAAAATTAATTTACTTGTCAGAAGACATTAGTATTAGACCACTTATATTTTTAACACTGCATTCTATATCTAGTCCCTTAGGGATTTGTAATAATTAGAAGAATGTACACTCCCTAACAGATTAACGTCTATTGACAAATAAATTAATTACAATCATGCTTTGCCAGCTTGAAAAGTGAATTCTCACCATAACAATTATTAATGCGTGTTTTCAATAATGATTAGGTACAACTTTTTGAATGTTCAAGTTACGCTAGTAGACCTACTGTTCTAACACATAAAAGTTCTACTCATCTTATTATTCCCTTTGTGGATGAACTGTTAAAACCTTTTACAAGTTATGCGCGAGGTGATTTAGACTTTACATCAAACTTGCCTAGTGAATTTGAGTCATAACTCAAGTTTAATTAGATACAGTCCCTTTATTGACTAATATTGTACATGAACTGTAGCTATAAACTATTTTTCTGAACGTTATACAGAACTTTTGCATCTCAGAATTACTAAAGAAATTTTAGTTGAAGCTTCTCGAAAAGTAATTTTTTACCTATAATAATGATTTTTACCACCAAATAATAGGAATCGCCACAGATATAAAATTAAACCTACCTATGTAATTTTAGTAACTGGTGTCTTAGAAGATGTATACTATTTGACCAAAATATGGGTTGAAATGTTAGCTCGTAACTTGTGTCACATTGACACAGAAACACTGACGACTGGTTTATTATTGTTACGTCTCTGGTCGTTTGTTAATTTCCAGTATAAATTCTTCCGAGGAACCTCAGTGATACAAGTCCTTTCTTAAATAAAACTAGTTTATTCTTTCTCAATACAAGTTTGCAATACACAGAATTTCCACGGTCACTTTAACTTAAACACACGCTATAATTCACAACGATTTACGCACTATACTTAAGGTCAGTACTGCTCACTTGACTCAATTATCTGTCTCTATATCTGCAATTATTCTCTCTCGTCACTTTTTGCCGGTCATATATATATATATATACAAAATAGAGGGCGTCTGGCAAACACTCGAGCCTTCACGACCGTTCTAGATACTCATTATGTGTTACCAGCGTCACGTGAATTCCGTTGTAGTAATATTACTTTGAATGAAGATTTAAACTGGTAAAATTTTAGTCAGTTTTTAAATTATCTAAATCCCAAAATTAAATTCGCTGTTAAAAACGCTTATAAAACAATACAGTGATTGTATATATTAATTTAAATATGGGGGCAATGACACTTTAAAAACGGATATTTTTTTTATAAACCAGCAATTCCCACACTTATTTATATCTCACTCTGGATACATTAAAAGAAATATTCCGTACACGTTAGCAAGGAGAATTTTACTGATTGTAAGTCATATATTAAAATGACGTATAAGGTTAAATGAATTAAATCAAGTTATAATACCTAAATGAAAATTTTATATTTCGCGCCTAATTATATGATCCAAAAGCTCATCATTAGTCCGAAGTGCTTAAATGATAATACAAGAGTTCAGAACTTCGAATGCCTCCTGCACAAGGGTGCCCACAGAAATGTTTCCCGGAGTGTGGGCAAAACATGTATGTAAGGGATCAGTACACTGTAAGTCAACAGACTAAAATAATTTGCGTTATGTGTGCTTAAACGCAAACACAAATTTAGAGTTTTAATAAAAATTACTAAAAAGATTTAGTTTAACTACGATGTTAAGTTTACATCATAATACGTGCAATTTTTTGTGAAATATAAAGGGGCAAATGCCCCCTCTTGCCCCTTCCTGCTGGCGCCCATGGTGAGTTATATTTATGTATACAGGTTATATTATGAATATCTCACTAGTTGTATCTGTGCCCATGCTCCTGCGCATCTGATACTATACGAAGAGCCATAAGTAATATGGTTATTGCAGCTTATAGTCAACTAAAAAGCCTAATCCGTTTACTTTGTTATAAACGATTGTTTGTTTGTTTTGAATTTCGCGCAAAGCTACACGAGGGCTATCTGCGCTAGCCGTCACTGATTTAGCAGTGTAAGACTAGAGGGAAGGTAGCTAGTCATCACCACCCACCGCCAACTCTTGGACTACTCTTTTACCAACGAATAGTGGGATTGACCGTCACATTATAACGCCCCCACGGCTGAAAGAGCGAGCATGTTTGGTGTGACGGAGATTCGAACCCGCGACCCTCAGATTGTGAGTCGAGCGCCCTAACCACCTGGCCATGCCGGGCCTGTTGTAAAGGAAATAGACAAGACGGTATTACTCAATGTTAGGACGTCAACTCTGTAATGTAGGTCAGTGTTTCCCAACCGACGGGGCCCTACCCGATACGGGAGCACGGATTATTATTTGCCAGGGCACTAATTGTTGTACGCATATATTGTAACTAATGTTAATGGGGCGCGGTGAAATATTCAAATATATATATCGGAGCGCAGTAGCTTTTCGGTTGAGATACACTGATCTAGGATTACAGAAACCAAAACAAAAAATGTACGGAATTTGATCAAAAGTAGATCTCTTATTAACACACAATCCAAATAGTTAAAACATAATTAATGTAAACTGCACAAATATTGAAATATTAAAACAAAGTCAAAATCTTAGGAATCTTATGACTAAAAAAAAAACAACAAAATACACGATCGAGTGCAACAAAAGAACATTAAAAAACGTTTAACGTGCAAAATTTAACTGAAAAAAAAAAAGGTCTGAAGGTAAGCATTTGTTATGACAAATGATGCCGTACGTGTAAGTACCTACATTTACACAAACATGAACTGTAATCCGGAAAATATTGTAAAACAAGTAATGAAAAAAACGTTTCAAAAAGGGAAGTAAAGGTAGGGATGGCTGATATCAATCCTTCAAAAACAATGCAAACAGTGTTTCGACAGACATACAAAGGTTGTATTTATAACAAATTTCTAAATACAATGATATTCCAACTGTAATATTTATTGTTTAGCTTTTATTGGCTGGTAATTCCTGTTTCGCCCTGTTAAAGGAACACCAGATACTTGTAAGAAAGCTAACTTCAAAGGGTAATGATAACATCATTAAAAGCAGATACTCCGTTTGAAACTATTTCACATCGGTGAAACTGGTCCACACTATTGTTTTGGTTTTTAAGTTATGTAATAAAAAGAACAGCAGGAAGAAGATGAGAAATTCAAACTTTTT